CAATATATCTTGGTGTTTTGCACCTTGATTTTTTAAAATTTTTATATGGGGCTAAAACTTAATTTCCTTGAGTTTTAGATGAACCTTCAGACTTGGACTTTGAGCAATGTTGGTGCTGTTAATACTTGCAGACACATGGAAACAGATTAAACATGTTTTGCATTGTGAACATGAACTTTTGGCCTCTGGGGGAGCATAATGCCATAGTTTAGATCTGAAATGTCCCAAAGGTCCGTGTTATAAAGGTTGATTCTCAGTTTGTGGTGCTAAATGTGCTCTTGGAGATGGGGACTAATGAAAGCTCTTAAGTCATTGAATTGTGCCTTGAAGAGAACTGAGGGATGAGTGACAGTGTTTCTCTCTCCCACTATTTCCTGGCTGTTATGAAATAAACAGCTTCCTCTGCCACGTGCTACCCTCCATGATAGGCTACCTTACCACAGGCCCAAAACAACAGGGACAAATAATCATGGGCTGGAACCTACACAACTATGCACTAAAATAAAATTTTCCTCTCTTTAATTTGATTATCTCAGGTATTTTGTTACACAACAGGATGCTGAACAACACAGGGACTTAATGGAAAAATTAGAAAACACTCAGAAATGCAATGTAGGCTAAACAGAAAGATAGAAATTCTGAAAAGAAAAAGAATCAAAAGAAAGTGTAGACATAAAAAAATGCCGTAACAAAAACAAAGAATGCCATTGATGGGTGAGTTAGTAGACTTCTAGTGGCTGACGAAAAAAATGTATAAGCTTAAAGATCTCCGAAAAGATGTTACACACACATAGTAAGAACACCAGAAGAAAAGAGCAAATACAAGAAATATTTGAAGCAATAATAACAGAATATCTCCAAAATATTATCAGACACAAAAAAATACAAATTCAGAAATCTCAAAAAACAAACACCAAGCAGGGTAAATCCATATATATTTTTTAAAACTTATACATAGGCATATCATATTAAAACTTCAGGAAATCAAATACAAAATGTTTTTAAAATCTTAAAAAAAATACCATACTTACAGAGTATCAAAGGAAAGAATCATATGTAACTTTTCCTCAGCAATCATGTAAGCAAGAAGAGGGAGAATCATCAATTTATATTTCTATATCCTGTAAAATTTTCTTTATAAATGCAGGATTTTCTCAAACAAAAAATTGAGATAAATTTTGTTGCCAGGAGAAAAAAATACATATATATGAGCTTATGCATATGTAAGATGAATGACAGTATCGATACAAGGGTGAGGAAAGGAAAATAAATATTATTTCATTATTTTTAAATGAATTGAGGTTAGTTGTACATTGCAAACTGTAGGGCAAAAGCTAAAAATGCAAAACAAATCAGAATTGACATCTAAGAAGGAAGATGAAATGGAATCCTGTGAAATGCTCAATAAGAATAAAAACACAGACAAAAGAAGACAAAAACAGAATAAAGAACAAAAACAACAAATAGAGGGGCCGGGGATTTAGCTCAGTGGTTCCACCGCCTGCCTCGCAAGCGAAAGGACCAGAGTTCAATCCTCGGTACCACAAACAAACAAACAAAAAAGAAAATAGTAACAAATATGGTAGATAATAAACCAATCAATAATAGTCACTTAATGTCTGTGCTCTAAGAGTGCCAAGTAAAATATAGATGATGCAGAAACACTCTTTGTTTGAAGAGAAAGATGAAAGTTTTCAGGAAATAAATGGAACCAAAATATCTTAAACAAGAAGAGCAAAAATATCTTCAAACGAAAGGGGGAAATATGAAGGAAAAAAGAAGCAAACAGAAAATTAATAATAAATTAGTATTTATAAATATATCAATAATTGATTTAACTGGTAGTCAAACACGAATAAAAAACTAAACATTATCGAATTGGATAAAAATAAAAGCAAGACTCCATCAAATGTTATCAGAAGCCTGCACAAACCATAATGATCTAGATAGGTTAAAAAGATGAAAGGATAAAAAGATAAATGGTGCAATCATTATTCAAAAAAGATACAGTGGTAATATGCTTTTCATACAAAGCAGTCTTCAGAACAGAAGAAATTATCATAGATTTAAAAACCAATACATAAAACAACAATGCATTGTAAACAAGTAATTTTCATCCTAGAAATGCAACATTAAATTTAACAGTTAAAATTAAGTAATAGAACTCATATAACAGACTTTAAACATACACACATGCACATACATTCTATCAATAGATATAGAAAAAATGCTTGAAAATGTAATGCTAATTCATGATATTTTAAAAAATGTACTCAACAAATTAGGAATAGAAGAAAATGTTCTCAATTTGAAAAAGGGTACCAACAGAAACACCTATAGGTAACACCATTGTTAAATAAAAGGTAATGGGTGTTTCCACCCTAAGATCAGGAACAACACAAAATTTTTGCTTTCACTCTTCTTAATTAGTGTCATATCAGAAGTTTTAGCTAGTTCAAAAAGGCAAGCAAAATGCATAAAGAACAGACATTCACATCAAAAAGGAAGAAATAAATCTATTTACAGACAACACAATTGTTTACAGAGAAAATTTGAAGAAACCTTAAAAATATCCTCCTAGAATTAGGAAGATTGGTAAGCTCACAGAACATATATTAGTGTGCCAATATTATTATACAAAAATCAATATTTTTTCTATTCACTAGCAATAAAAATTTGGAACACATCTTTTTAAAAATTACTATTTTAAAAATGGAAATAAAGTCTTTGTAAATAGGGAAGGGTGGAGAGGGTGGAGAGGGTGAAGGGAGTGCTAGGAATGGGGAAAAAATAAGAACCAAGATGCATTATGTAAAGGTACAATTCCCAATGAGAAATGTAATTGTGTTGTATACCTACAATGTACCAATAAAAGAATTTAATAAAGTGCAAAAAAAAAATTATTATTTTCAGAAGCTGGGGATTTATTTCAGTGACACCATGTCTGCCTCACAAGGGCAAGGTCCTGAGTTTGATCACTGGTACCAAAAAAAAAAACAAAAAAACTTTTTACAATAGCTAAAATTAAATAATTGACTAAATCTCTCAAAAATTCAGAATCTCCTAGAAGAAGTGTGAAATATCAGTGAAATGTATCAAGAAGACCTAAATAAGTGAAGACAGCCATAAAATTCAGGGCTGGAGAGATTCAATATGGATTAGATAGCCATTTCCCCCAACTATCTATAGATTTAACACAATCCTAATCACAATATATTCACGGATTCATTGTAGCTATAGAAAATGTCCTAGACAAAATCCACATGGAACAGCCAAAGGAATAGAAAAAAAGAAGAGTAAATCCAGAAGACTTATACTACCCAAATTTAAGATACAGCAGAGGTACACTGTTGAGATAGTCTGTTCATGAAAAGATAAATGATTAACAAAACAAATGAGATGCTCTAGAAAAAGACCTACTCAAATATTATCAGCTGATTTTGGAAAAAATATGCAAAGGAAACAATAAGAAAAGACAATCTTTTTAACAAGTGAAGCTGGAAAAATTGGCATCCATTAAAAAATAATTATCAATGTGCACTTGCACTAGGTATAAAAATTTAAGAAAATGTAAATTTAAAGTAATATAAAGTGAACAATAACAAAATTAAATATATACTTAAAACTATGAAACTCTTAAGTGAAAACAAAAAGAAAAAAAATCTTTGCAACATTGGTTTAGAAGAAATTTCTTAAATATGAACTGAAAATAATTGTTGGTAAAAGAAAAAAATACTGGGAAAAAATCCTTTTTATCAAGAGGATACAGAAAAGAAAGAAAACACAAGCCACAAACTAAAAAAATATTTGCAAAAGACTTATCAGACAAAGGAAAATACAATATATGTAAAGAGCCTTCAAAGTTGAAGAGCAAAAAAAAATATGTAAAATTTATTAGATATTTCACTAAAGAAGATATATGGATGGAAAATAAACGTGAAAAAATGGTCAATGCAAATTAAATGCATTTAAATGCTTAAATGCAAATTGAAAGTGTAATGAAATATTATACACATTTTAGAATGGTTTAAATGGGACAAGATGAATTTCTGGAAAGAACAGGAAGAAATAAGAACTCTCAGATACTTCTAGTGGGTATGTAAAATAGCACAGCCATCCTGGAAAACAGTATGGCAGTTTCTTATAAACCCAAACGTATTTCTATCATACAACCTAACAGATACACTAGAGCCTAGAGAAGGGAAACAAGTTATATACAAAATGTTGTACTTGAATGTATACAATGCTAGTATTTATAATTGCTCAGAGTTAGAAACAACTCACACTCCTCATATGAGTGAATGGATATATAAGCTCTTTTAGAAAGCCACGAGATGGATTACAACACAACAATATAAAAGGGCAAACTATTGATATAAAACAATTTGGATGTATCTCGGATTTTTTAAAGTGAAATAACATTGTCAAAAGATTTCAGTAGTGTATTATTTCATTTATATGCCATTCTAGGTAAGGCAAAAACATAGGAACAGATTAAAAAACAGAGTGGCCAGCAGTTACCAGGGGCAGAATACAGAGATGATGTGAGAAAATTCTTTGGCAATGTTGAAATTGTTACTCATCCTATCTGTTGTAATGGTTAAATATATATACATATATATGTGTGTGTGTGTGTGTGTGTGTGTGTAAATCAATAACCTACAGTCAACTAGTAAGTAGCAGGAATTAAATATATATAGGGTCTCGTATTAAAAAAACAAAAGAATGGATTGGGAATATAGTTCAGTTTGAAGGCCATGAGTTCAAACACAGTAGCACAAAATAATAAGAACAAATACATGAACTGTTTAGGATAGAGAAGAATATTAAAAATCTACCTAGAAGAAAGTGAGAATACAGAGATATAGGATGAATGACACCTCTGTTGTATATGAAGGGCTCAGTAACTTTCCAGGTGGGATAATTTAATTTCAAAATTTCTTCACTTCAGCATTGTTTCTGGACACTACTTGAACTAGTGTATCAATATTCATCAATACCTCTTCAATGGCACCAGCAGAAATCCTGTGACCTGCAACATTTATGACATCATCAACTCGAGACATAACATACACATAGCCTTCTTCATCCATGTAACCAGCATCCATAGTGTCATAGTATCCCTGAAAATAAGAATAAATAATGTTTTATTAACATGCATTGTTGGATAATGTAATTTTAAAGTTGGTATAATATAAAATGTGATAGGAATAGATTTATTGTATTTATTTGCCTTTTTTATAACTACACTCTGAAGTTAAATTATTTTGGTTTTGAAATCTTCCTAGAATCTCTTTGCTCCTCTAAGAGCCAGGAATTAGATAAAGCATTCTTATACATGTGCAAGTTAAGTGTTTGAACATAAGACTTGTAAAGTTTATGAACTCAATTACATTTTTTAATGGAGAAGTAATAGCTCAGTATTTCCAATATAATTTTGCATTACAAAGTAATTCTTTGATAAAGTTTTTCTCTAATTGTATTAAATTTTAAAACTATAAGCCTTCCTATGAATAATTGCACAATAAATCACTAGTTTATTAACATAGGTTAAGACTGGACTCAAATTTCAATGAAATTTAATAGTAAGAAAGAAATTTAATTTTTAATTAAATTAAAGTAGCATATCTTTGCTGGCCCAGCAATCACAACAGAATGAAGAATCAAGAAGAATAAGAAATAGAAAAACATATTACTTTCTCTAATGCTTCTGACGTTTTGATACCTACAATCATGAGAACAGTTTTAGCACAAACACTGGCTAGTCAATGTGTTTCTTAACCTTTTTGAGACTCAGTATGTTTGTATGTTAAATGAACTAATGAACTACTCTACCTTATAAGAATACTTTAAAGCCTGTCTAAAATGGTGTACAGGACAGACTCTGGCTGGAGCTCTTATAGCAATTGCTATGGTCATTATTAAGGTAATGAATTCTAGAGCTGGGCTGTTTTGGTTCAAATTTCAACTTCATCATGTATCACCTATCTGACCTACCCCTTCTATGCCATTATTAATGCCTCAGATGAGAGGCTTGAGGTTGGGTAACAAAGTAAAGAATTGCTTCATGTAGTTTAATCACATATTGAGACTTGGAGGGGATTTGTTGGAGCTTTGAATGTTAAAGGTGACCATGTCAATATCACATGCACAAATTATTTGCCATTGTCAGTTTGTAATTAATCTTATTAGTACCATGATGTCTTAACTGTGGCCCACCAGGTGGATAGATTGGAGTGACTGGAGCCTTGCAGACTGGCAAATCTTTCCTGCCACAGTCCATCAGGGGAACATTTAATCTTGGTTATTGAGGTTATTTCTACTCTGAGACATCTTTCTAAAGGAAGCTGTTTTAATTCTTGTCATTTGTCTAGTTGATTAGGTTGTCTTTCACTCACAAATAATAAAGACAGAATACTAAATACTTGGAATAGCTTTTTTATTAAATTTTAATCATCCATTCCTCTTTACCTACTGCATAATGAGGTCAAAATATCACTCTCAGACAAAAAAATGTAAAAGAAAAAAAGTGAAAGGACAGCAGAGAGAAGATGGGGGACCTTGGCATGTATCATCACTGAAGTGCTAATATGAGCACAGGCCACCTCACCTTGACATAGAGTAGTAATGGGTAAATGGCAAAATGTGAACCAGCAAGACAATCTTTGTTAACCAAGACACTGACAGCAGGGTGGGCTTTGAGAAAACTGCCTTTTTCTTGTACCTTGATTCTTAAGTGGAACTTTATTTTATTTCATTTTATTTTTGGTACCAGGGATCGAACTCAGGTCATTGTGCTTGCAAGGCAGGCAGTGGCACCACTGAGCTAAATCCCCAGCCCAAGTGGAACTTTAAAATAAAGAGCTCAGGGAACATTTAGAAAAAGATGTCAAAAGAGATAAAAGTGTGGAAAAATACAACTCTGTACAAATCAAATGAATTTTATTCAAATAACCAGGTGTAGAGGAGATTAAGTGATCTCAATGACAGTGTGTAATTCTAAGTAGTTTCTGTCACTCTGTACAGAGAAATCCAGTGGGTGAAATAATAATTTTTTTTTTTAATGGAGTTAGCAAAATCCCTCTCAAAAAATTCTACTTTTGAGAGCTTAGGAAAAGCTGTTAAGAGAAACTGAGAAATCTATATATATTTATATATAATATAAATATATATCTCCTTTAGCTTATGATTTGGGTGTTCTTATCTATGAAAGCTGGAGACTGGCACGGGAAACTGTTAGGTTTTTTTAATCCGTAATTCTAGAAACAAATTGCTCAATTAAATAGATTAAAGTTATAGAGAAGTATAGAAAAAATTTTTAAAATATTTTAAAGTTCTTACAGGAAATTTTTCAAAATATAAATGCTTGAACGCTTCCTGATTCTTCCAGAGTCCTGAAAAAGCCCCCGGTGGTAATGGCAACCTTATGTAAAAACACAGCAATTAAAATGATGACAAAGTGATAATAAAGACAAATTGATTAGAACTATTATTTTTCCAGTGTTGTGGGTAATTACAATTCAAATATGATACTAAAATGTAGGCCTAATCTGCTGGACATATTATGTGTAATTGAGGCCTAAATACTTCACCGTGTCACAGCACAATTATTGAAGAACAGCTGGAGTTTGTGAAAAGTAACAAAAGGCACACACATTTGGCATTCAAACACTCATTAGCAATGATCACTATTTCAATAAGGAGCTTAACATCTGCAAAAATGAACTAAAAATGCATAACTAAATCACTTTCTAAGAGAAATGGTTCCAGCATAAGAAAATAAATTTAAGGAGTCAAGATAATGAACTGTCACCTGTTCCTGTATGTGTAATGGAATGTTCTAATTACGCATCCAGTGTACAATTTTATCTCAATGTGCTTCCCTCCCTGTAAAATCCCTCTTCCTGTTGATTTTTCTATTCCCTCTTACTACCCAGCAATATGTATTTTCTTACTCCTTACTACATGGAAATCTTGAACATATAGAAAATAAGGAAAACACATTTCTTTTCTTTCTCAATAATTTTCCATATACTTCCTTCTTTTATAGTATCAAATAGGTGTTACACATATCACAAGGCTATATCCCTCCATACAACTTATCTATGACTTATCTGTCTGTGTTTATATAATGAATGAACAAATTCTTATCTTGATTCCCTGTAGGAAGTGACTACTGAAAAAGGCAATCACTCTCCTTGTTTTCTTGTCACAAAATGTTCGTATTTTATACTTTTAAATTTTAGATACCATAGAACTTGAGAACTTTCAAAAACTTTCCTTATAAAATAAAAAAGTATCACTAAGTGGAGTGATGACTCACAATTCAGGTGCTAAACAAAACAACACAAGAAAAAACTGACAAGGAAGTAGAGACAACTACTGTCCACCTAAGGTGACATCACACATCCTCTCCATAAGTAGTGTTTTCAATTCTGATAGGACCAGAGGTAAAAGCTATGGTCAGATGCCCATGTCAGTGTTAGACCACCATGGATCAGAATTCTACTCTCACATCTGTAGGGCAAAAGCAAACAAAACAAAGCAAAACAAAACAAAAACACTGCTAGAAATGTGAGTAACCAGGTGTGGTTCCACATCCCTGTAAAGCCAGCTCTCTTGGGAGGCTGAGGCAAGAGGATTGGAGCAAGTTCAAGGCTAGCCTTGGCTACACTGTGAGTTCCAGGCCAGCCTAAACTATACAGCAAGACCCAGTCACAAAAAAAAAAAAAGATGTCTCCTAGGCGAGCAGCTGATGTTCCCCATTTCCACCATGTTCAGCCTCCCAGGAGCTATGGTGAAGACTTCCTCCTCAAGTCATATTATTGTAGGGTTGTAGTGTAATTTTTCCATGTATACCTTTTTTTTTGGTACTGGGGATCAAACTCAGGTCCTTGCACTTGTGAGGCAGGCAGCAGAACCACTGAGCTAAATCCCTGGCCCCCAAGTCATAGTACAGTAACTGCTATTGTAATAATGATAGGAAATACACTACATCAGAGGAAATATGCTACATCAACATTTCTTGATTTCATATATTTATATAAATGCATGAAAGCATTTTTTAAACTTAAAAATATAAAAGGTAAAGAAAGGCAAGTGTTTTGTTGCTATTGCTCCTATTACTATTTTTGTTCATCATTAAATCTGTTTGAAGGCTGCAGGCTGAAGCTGGTAATGGTTCCTGTTTCTTTTAAGTGACTTTGTATGGTAATCCTTTTAAATCAGCATGCAAATAATTTTGCTTCACCATTCTGTTTTAAATCATCTCCTTAATATTTTTCAATAAAGGATAAAACTCATTATTAAGCATTGAAGTAAAACATAAATAAAGGCACATAAAAATAAATATTTCTTGGGTAGTACAATAGGCAAGTGATACTGATGAATTATCAAATTTTTTTAAAGAAGGAATCTGCATAATCAGATCTTTGTTCCAAGAATATTGTGTGGATGAGCTGGGTAACTGGAAGCCATAGTAAAGGATGAAAAGTAAGTATAAGGGATGAAGAATAGAGAATTAAAGGTGACTGAAGTTTTCAGTCCACTTCACTGGTGATAAAAATGCATGAATCATAAATGCAGTAAAAGCACTATTTTCAGAATAAGTGGCATACTGAAATTTGGAGAAGTGGAGATAAAGAATTTGGTTTAAATGTTAAAAGTGAGGAGCCTGGGGCATTATAGGCATATGGAGAGCCATTAATAAGATGCCAAGAAATCTACATCTGGAATAATGCAAATCACAAGAGAGATGAGACTGAGGATGGGGTGGGATTATATATATATATTTATTAATAATATATATATTATATATCCCCAGATGGGGTTTATGGAAGACAAAGGTTAAATATAGTGAGTGTTAAAGAAGGATTAAAGAACAAATGTCATTGAACAAAAAGAAAAAGAAAATCACAGATGTATGGGAACAAAGAGAACATAGTATCCAAGGAATCACAAAAAAAAAGTATTAGTAATGGTCAAGTGTTCAATAAGGTCAAATGAAGGTTAAATTGTGTTTGGGAATGGGTTTTACGTAGTAATGAAACAGTAGTTATGACAATTTGAATAGTCTTAGAATTGTAATTTCAAGCAGGTGGGATCAGGTGACAGGTGGGCTTACGATGGAGCAAGATGAAGAAAGTAAGTAGCAGCAATAATGTTGGATGGACTCTACTTTGTTTAAAAGTTTGTGAGTAGTTTAATGCAGAGAGGCAGGTTGATACAGGATGGAGAATACTTGAGTGTAAGTAGCCAGTGAAGAGAAGACTAAGGTATGAAAGTGAGAAAACACCAGGGGAATTATTCAATTTATTCATTCATTCATTCACATGTGCAGTAACTCTTGTACTCATTTTCTGAATTCATTCAATGTTTGTTTTGTGCTTGGTATTTTTTTCAGACATTGTGCCAGGCATTAATAATGCATAGATATAAATCATGATCTTAGATATATGGAGATTCTAGTATATAGTGAACATCAAGAAATTTAGCATTTTAAAAATACAAATAGAAAGGGAGAATAATACGAATGATATCTACATGATTAAGCTAGTAAAATAGAAATATTCAAGATGTTTTCCAGGCATGTTTTCCAGCAGGTAGCAAAACTGCTCTAACAGACGCTCTTGTAAGAAAAGTTTTCATTCTTACTCAAGATGTGGAATTGCTGGAAATGATACTTGTGTGTGTCTCAAGTAATTTTTAAAATTCTCCCAGAAAACTACTTCATTATTCACAAATCTAATGGAAGATCAGGCTAGAAAATAAAAAAGGAGACTGTAATGGGTAAATAATAAGATAAAACAGAGGAAATGCTTTCTGTTCCTCTCAGTACTGAAAATTGTATCTACAGAGAACTGTGGAAAGATCCACATAATACATTTTTTAAGCATAAACAAAGAAAATTTCCAGATTTGGAAGTATTTATTATATATATATATATATATATATGATATATATGGCATACATTATATATTATATATGAAACATACACAGTGTACAGGAAAACATGTGAGAAGGGAAGCAACATGTATATGACACAGAGGAGATATTTTGTAGTTTTCCATTTGTCTTACTGCTATCTCAAGGATTATCCAAAATCCAACATCAAGTACAATTCTCCTTTCTGCAATAATGGTACACTAGGGATCGTCTGAAGTTATAGAAAAAGAAAACTTTTTATGAAGTTACAATAACAGAAAAATCATTGAACTGGCAGAAAGAAAGAGAAGATATGAAAATACTAAGACATGTGCGGGTGAATGGATATACTCATCCTTCAAATTCAAAATCAAATGCAACCACCTTGCGATATCTTCCCCAATTCTTCCAAGCAGAGTGAAAGGGAGACTTTTGTTATAACTCCTCCACTTGTGCATCAGGAGTTCCTTTTAGAAAAAAATCCTTTCCAAAGAAACCATCCTCAGGGAGAAGAAAAGCAACTAGACAGCAGGGCTACCTATACAGGTGGGAGGGGTCAGGGTGCTGACAAATCTTTAGAGACAGAGGGATGAAAATGTCCATCATCCTGGTTGAAAATGTCCATCACATTTTTGACTGATGTAAACTATAAAACTCCTAGATGGCTTCTACACCAAGCAAAGGATTGTCTGTATGTTCTGTCTTTCAAGAATCCCTAAGCTTCAGAAACACATTAAAGACATACTCCTGTTCCCTAGAGAATTCTGGAGTTAAACCCCAACATTGCACTTTCAGTTCTTCAGATGAGATTTTTAGATTTTAATACAAAGTTACTTTTTATCTGTCTCGCAAAAACTGCCTAAGCCATAATTTCTTTTTCTCTGAGCAGACAAGACTTGTTAGTAATATAAACTCTAGCTGTGTAATTACTAATGGTGCTTATTTTCTCACGTCTAGAATGAGGATGACATTCATCTCCTTGCCTACCTTATAGTGCTGCCTACAATAAAATCTGCATATGAGATTTACAAAGGAGCAGGACTATATGTGACATGCTTCATTGTGCTCTAAGGATTCCTGGATAAAAAGAAAGATATCCTAGCTTGCTTCTAAGATGTTGGCACAGTGATTGAATTCCTGCTCTGAAGCTGTGAAGTGAACAAACAACATTAAAAACCAAAAGCTTAATATCTGGGGGATGAGAAATAGCCAGATAGTAAAGTAAAAGCCACTTGGATAATTCCACAGAGGTCCTTACATCCCACCACTGCTGCAGGGCACAGGTCAACAGACTGCAGAAGGGGCTGGGTAAGCCACACTTTCAACAGCAACAGTGGATCTGTTCAGAAAAATGTGACTAGCAGAGAGCAGGCTCCAGAGACCTATGGATTTAATAACAGTGAGCCCTGTGGTACTGAGAAAGGCAATTGCACTTAAAATTTTCTTTCATGCTCTGTTCGCTGTTGCCTGGAAATTACTGACTCATAGTTTTATTTCTGC